CTCTGAGCACTACCACGGTTTGCCACTGAACCATGGCCTTGTCTGGGACAAGCACTTACCCATTCAACCGCCAAGGGCTACTACCACTGACAGCCCAAGTGCAACTCAACTTGCCATTACTCAACGTATACAAGACCCGCCATGCCTCAATAGGTGCGGTCTGCTGTAAGCCGACCTGACTTGCCACCGTAGAGATTGCCGCAGCCCGCTGTGAGGTGACTGCTCGCTGCCTGCAGCCACGGCCTAAAGCATGGCTGCTAGACTGACTTGAACCACCGCCGAAGACAACCTCAGCTGCCGTGGCTGAAATCTGAGGCACAGTTTAACAGTGAAAGCCCTTTATTCCAATTCAATAGCACGTTTTTTGTTAGCACATGGATGAAAATCATCTGAATAACTTAGTTTTAATGCTTTTCGTTAGAGTCTGTAGAGCAGTTTCGTTCTGCATTTAGTTTATTGTTATATAGCACGAGTGTTTGGTGTAAACTTTAACGCAAGACTGGTTATAATTCTGTATGACTTCACGAGATATTGGCCGGACTAGAAATGTTTTCATCCTGGCCTCACTGCACAACTCTCAACCCATTGTCCTGAAATTTAAAGACGTGGCCCAAAATTCAAACGGCTGTTATCTTTCGATTAAAAGCTTTCGTGACTGCAGGGATTCATCTTCTTGGTTCTTTCGGTAAAGTCACGTAGAATGGAAATAATAAAATAATAAAAATTAAACAATACAATTCTCACGACGTTTTGGCCACAACGCAAGCAGAAGAACAGGTGAAGAACAGGTCTGTCGGAAAGACAGACGCTGTCTTTCCGACAGACCTGTTCTTCTGCTTGCGTTGTGGCCGAAACGTCGTGAGAATTGTATTTTATTATGTTTTATTTTTATTATTTTATGATTTCCCTTCTACGTGACTTTACCGAAAGAACCAAGAAGCTATTAACTTGCGGCTACACACCGATATTGTGTTCCCAGGACGCGCAGCCCAAGTTTGCGTCTGCGAGAGAAGAGCTACAGATTCTCCTCGCATTATACGGCTTCCTGTTTGTGCGATTTTGCGCTGTTTATGGGGCAAGCCGGTTCATACCCAAAATTCGCGAGATGCGGTTTCACTTAAGTCACGTGCGGCTACGCGCTCGGATGTAGGACAAGATTGTGTGTGTACTGTCCACGCTACTCGGCAGGCAGCTGTATCCTTGTGCGGTGTCGCTTTGTGTGCCCTTTTTGAAACGCATCTTCTACTAGCGCAGACAGCGAGGGAAACCTGTACATTGCACTTGTTAATTTTGACTTGCATCTAGAAGGGTTTAGGGGGTCTGGATGCAATGTGACTTCGTGCTCCTTTACCAAAAGACATTCCAAACTCTTGCCCTCAGAAATACAATCCAGGTTTTAATGCACACACACACACAAGTAAGATGAGTGCAGTCACAGGTAACGGCAGTGTTTGTTTTAAAGCTTTCGTGACTGCAAGGATTCATATTTTTGGTTCTTTCGGGTAAAGTCACGTAGAAGGGAAATAATAAAGTAATAAAAATATAAACCAATTAAATTCTCACGACCTTTCGACTGCAACACAAGCAATCATCGTCAGGTGTGAAAACCACAGCAAGTAAATTTTAAAAAAATTGTATAATTTTATTTCGATTTAAAGCTTTCGTGACTGCAGGGATTCATCTTCTTGGTTCTTTCGGTAAAGTCACGTAGAAGGAAAATAATAAAATAATAAAAATAAAACAAAATTATTCTCACGACGTTTCGGCCACAACGCAAGCAGCCATCTTCAGGTGGAATTATTTTATGTTTTATTTGTATTATTTTCTTTCTACGTGACTTTACCGAAAGAACCAAGAAGATGAATCCCTGCAGTCACGAAAGCTTTAAATCGAAATTTGTCGTTGTTGTTGTTTGGAGTGGAATCCATGGAGCTGCACAAGTCTACGTCATCACCTTCGGCATCGTCTGCATCGTTGTTGGCCAAGCAGCCTGTTGCTGTCCTGACCCTGGCATCGTTGCCTGTGACGGCGACAATAAAACAGAGTGCCTCCTCAATACGACTCGTGTCTCTCTAAAGTTTCGTGTCTCTCTAAACTAATTCAGCATCAAAGGGAGGGGATAGGGGTAGCATTAATAAAGGGAAGGAGTGTTAATAGTATGTAGCTGCTGATGCTGAATTAGTACTATTCACATACCTGCATTTCCCATATCCTCTATGCTTAATACAATGAACAAAGTAATATATATCGTAATTGTATAGTAAATAAATAGCAGTGTGATACACATTAGGGTGGGTAGAATAATACATAGTGTTATATTAAAATGTATAAGGTATAGGGTGGTTTATAGCAATACAGTATGTAATTTAATGTTGGGTTTGTCTATGGCAGTATATACGGTGTAGACTCGTGTGATGTAAGAGAATAAAGTTTAGATGGTAGCATATTATATAATTTTTACGACGTAGAATTGTAATGTATAACTTACAGTTAGTAACTCAGCTTATTGTAGAGTATAGTAAGTATACTGATGATGCTATGTAGTTTATACTTTAGTTGTTTACGTGGTGGTTTTAGTTACTGCAGCTACATACTATTAACACTCCTTCCCTTGATTAATGCTACCCCTACCCCCTTCCTTTGATGATGAATTAGCACTATTCACATTCCTGCATTTCCCATATCCTCTCCCTTTGATGCTGCTAATCCTGCATAATGCACGGGCATATGTAGCACTAATCACATTCCTGCATTTTCCATAAATATGCTAAATTCATCTTGATATGCAAATTCCTTTGTCAAGACGCCCAGCTTATATACATGCTCCAAGCTCGTGTGCTGTTTCATTCAGACTCTGTCGCCTCGACAGACCTGGTCTTCACCTGAGGACGGCTGCTTGCGTTGTGGCCGAAACGTCGTGAGAATTATTTTATTATGTTTTATTTTTATTATTTTATTATTTCCCTTCTACGTGACTTTACCGAAAGAACCAAGAAGAAGAAGATACGTGGGATCGATTCCCGCATTCTCCAAGCGCAATATTTTTTTAAATCAAATTTTAAATGTTAATTCCCAGCGTTAGTGTCTGTGACATCTTCACATTGGTGAACCAGCTGGAAGTACACTGACCTCTTGTCGCTCTCGATGTTGCTGTTTTGAAGCTCCTGTTAAGACGTTAGAGATGTGACGAGAAATAAAAAAATATAAAAAATATTATCGAGCTTGGCAGGAGTGGAACAGTCAGCCGTGTGCCCCGTGACGTCACAGACCCCACCACGTGACTCGCACGCCCCCCAGGGGACCTGAAACGTCGGCTGAGCCGCAGTGTTGAGTCTACGGCGCAGCGCGCAGTCTTATCAGTTCTACGGAATCCGAGTCGCACTCGCGTCACGTGGTCGCCTATCCGCACTACGTATTATAAACGCGCCCTGCCAATCTCACGAGTCGCAGCTGCCTGCAGCCTCCTGCCCGAGGTGTCGGCACGCGACGTCGGACCTCCTCCTCCTGCTGCTGCTGCACTCCACACAGGACATTGTTGAGTGTGTGAGCTCACAACGACGGAGAAAATCACTCAAGACCCCCTCCCAAGACGTCGACGCAGCGTTGCGCCGGTGAGCCCTGCGGTAAGGCCTAGTCCCTGGGAGTGCCACCGGTCTCGGCTAGATTGCTCAGCCGGCCGAGGTCGCACCTTGGCCGGCTGGGGCTGGGCTGCTACCCCCCCCCCCCCGTGACTGCGAGAGTGAGACTTTAGACAAAGGTGCCCCGTGTAGCCTCTAGCAGGCTGTAGGGGCAAGTGCTGTTAGTAGCACCTATACACAGACAAAGGTGCCCGTGTAGCCTCTAGCAGGCTGTAGGGGCAAGTGCTGTTAGTAGCACCTATACACAGACAAAGGTCCCCGTGTAGCCTCTAGCAGGCTGTAGGGGCAAGTGCTGTTAGTAGCTATACACAGACAAAGGTCCCCGTGTAGGTGATGGTTGGTGATGGTAGTGATGGTGGTGATGGTGGTGGTGATGGTGGTGATGGTTGGTGGTGATGGTGGTAGTGATGGTTGTGATGGTGGTGGTGATGGTGGTGGTGATGGTGGTGATGGTTGGTGATGGTGTTGATGGTAGTGGTGATGGTGGTGGTGATGGTGGTGATGGTTGGTGATGGTTGGTGATGGTTGGTGGTGGTGATGGTGGTGATGGTGGTGATGGTTGGTGGTGGTAGTGGTGATGGTGGTGGTGATGGTGGTGATGGTTGGTGATGGTGGTGATGGTGGTGATGGTTGTGATGGTGGTGGTGATGGTGGTGATGGTTGGTGATGGTTGGTGGTGGTGGTGGTGATGGTGGTGATGGTGGTGATGGTGGTGGTGATGGTTGGTGGTGGTGGTGGTGGTGATGGTGGTGATGGTTGGGGATGGTGGTGTGATGGTTGGTGATGGTTGTGATGGTGGTGGTGATGGTGGTGATGGTTGTGATGGTTGGTGATGGTGGTGATGGTGGAGATGGTTGGTGATGGTGGTGATGGTGATGATGGTGGTGATGATGGTGATGGTTGGTGGTGGTGGTGATGTTGGTGATGGTGGTGGTGGTGATGGTGGTGGTGGTGGTTGGTGGTGGTGGTGATGATACAGGGAGCTGTTCTCGCTGCATCACAACCCTCAACAGCAACAGCAACGACGACAAGAAGCCGCAGCGATCTGCCATGGAGCGAGCCGGCGGCGGTGGCGGCCGGCCGCGGCGGCGTCAGCGGAGGCGGCAGGAGGGCGGAGGACCGGCTCGCACGGCCGTCCGCGGGCCTCGGGGGCCGCTCCAGGCCGTCCGCGGGAGCCCCCCCGCAAGCGGCGGCGGAGAGCGCCCCGGAGCGCGAGCTGGGGGGGGGGGGCGGCGAGGGGAGAGGGGCGGAGGGCGCCGGGAGCGAGAGCGGTGGACACGGGCGTCACTCGTGGGACTCGCGAGCGGTGGGAGAGCGGGGTTTCGACGGCAGACGCACACGCCGAGGGAGAACGCCAGGAACCTAGGAGGAGAGGGGCTGCGCGCACACAGGGGGGATTGCAGTGGGAGGTTCGGGGGAGCGCGGGGGGGAGGGGGGGGGAGAAGGGAGGGGGGGGAGGGAGGGCTCGGGGTGTGGAGCCGGGTCACGGAGAGGCTGCGGCGGGTCACGAGGGGCGTAGGTGACGTGGGGCTGGCGAGTCCCTTCGGAAGCGGAGGCGCGGGAGAGCGGGGACGGCCAGAGGGGGGGCTCGGCCCCCCGGGGGCCCCCCTCAGCATGAGTCTCGTTTGGCGACTGCCTCGCGACGACGACGGGAGGTTGGTGGCCGTGAGAGCCGCAAGTTCCCCGTTCCCACGGCGGGTTCCCGAACTGTAGAGAGGAGGGGACGTCGTCAGCGGCCCGTTGATTATGACACTGGTCATAAACGCACTATCCTAAAAATACAGCACCGTATTGTAACACTAAAGCAGTCACTGACTCGCAACAACTTGCAATCATAAGTGACAGAGTTAATTTCGGGTAAAATCAATGAAAATGGGGAAGCCGATAGCATCAAAATGAGATGTCTAAAACAGCTGCAAAAGTCCAGGCCAGCATTTTTTTTTTGTGTTGACCAGTGTCATCAATGCGTTATCCGCCCGAGTGTTGCCCTATCGCCAATGTGTTTATCTATATTTTGTTGACCAGTGTTATTGGTTGTTTATTGCTGTCGGTGATTTTCGTGTTCACGTTTAAGAGATTAAACGTCCCTTCAATAGCATGACAGTGACACGGGTGTCTCCTACGCGTGTGTGCGTTGTGTTTACTAAACGCAATAGACAGGAACATTACGTCAAGCTACATTTCGATTTAAAGCTTTCGTGACTGCAGGGATTCATATTCTTGGTTCTTTCGGTAAACTCACGTAGAAGGGAAACAATTATTTTATTCCATGGGAACCTCATTTGCCAGTAAAATATGATAATTGTTTTTTCCCTTCTATCTGGCAACAAAACTGACACCTTTTTACGAGGAGTCATTTTGCATAGACCACAATACCTGCAGTCATAATACAAACAAAAGAACAACTCTGATAATGTGCACTGTCCTTGAAGTTGATTGGTCCACACCCGAGACAGCTTTCCATAGAGCCTAGTCTCACATGGGTTGGACCAGATGACGCCAAAAGGCGCAATACGACGCCGATCGTGGAGGAGGAGGCAGTGTCTCCGGGGACGCAGGCAACGAGGGCGCGCGCCAAAGACACAAAGACAAAGATCACCCGTGTAGCCTGCACAGGCTGTTGGGGCAAGTGCTGTTAGCGAGCACCTATAAGGCCGAACGGTGGAGGAGGGGGTGGGAGGCCAGCACCACGCCCGGCCGCCTTTATCTCCCCAGTGGCGATGTTTACACACCGCACCAGGTACTCATTTGAGGCTGAGTCGACCCGGGGGAGGCGCAGTGCCGGTTCAGATAATCGTCGCTGGTTTTGGCCGTGAGCGGAATATAACTCGGGATCCGGGTTCGTAGTGCAGCGCGCTAACCGCTGCCCACCACTCCTCGCCACACTGACACACACACTGACAGCCTGACACACACACTGACACACAGTTTTTAGGACAAAATATATTTAATTACCAATTGCTTAATGGTGCAATGCAATCATCTGACCCATAGGTGGCAGCCATCTCAAGCCAGAGGACGAGAGGACTCTAGCCGCCACGCATATAAAGGATTTATAGTGAAAAACTTTGTTTTTACGGGTTATACTTGTTTTTTAGTTGAAGCGTAAATTATAGGAGGCGGCTATTTTATCTCGCTCCGTGTCTCGTTCCGTCATTATTGCCGATATCAACCGCGTGGCCGGCACGGACGAGGAACGCGCGCAGTGCGATCCGCGTTGCGCGAGAGATGCCGACGAGAATTGGCAGCAGACAGAACTCCGATTTGCCACGGCGTCGTCCGGTTCTATTTATTCGTTGCACCTTCGTTCGTTCTTCATCAAAATCACACTTTTTGCGTGCAGAACGGGCGCCGCTTAAACCGAGAAGGGGCATTCAAGGGCACGTGGGAGTTGGCGTCTCTGTCACGTGGTACGCGTCACTCGGTGTCTGCAACGTGACGAGTTTCTTCCGCTGCTGGAACTTCCCTTGGCTCGCCCGTCCAAGCTTCAATCTGACGTCGGGACGTTTCCAACAACACAACAACACAAACACTCGGCGAGTCGGCGAGGGAGACGATGAAGGCGAGTTTACAAAGCGCCGCTCACCCTCATCCATCAGTCACCTGTGTGAGTGCTAGGTGTGTGTGAGTGTTAGGTGTGTGTGAGTGTTAGGTGTGTGTGAGTGTTAGGTGTGTGTGAGTGTTAGGTGTGTGTGAGTGTTAGGTGTGTGTTAGGTGTGTGTGAGTGTTAGGTGTGTGTGTGAGTATTAGGTGTGTGTGAGTGTTAGGTGTGTGTAGGAGTGTGTGTGTGAGTGTTAGGTGTGTGAGTGTTAGGTGTGTGTAGGAGTCTGTGTGTGTGAGTGTTAGGTGTGTGTGAGTGTTACGTGTGTGTGAGTGTTAGGTGTGTGAGTGTTAGGTGTGTGTGTTAGTGTGTGTGAGTGTTAGGTTGTGTAGGAGTCTGTGTGTGTGTGAGTGTTAGGTGTCTGTGAGTGTGTAGGTGTGTGTTAGGTGTGTGTGAGTGTTAGGTGTGTGAGTGTTAGGTGTGTGTTAGGTGTGTGTGAGTGTTAGGTGTGTGTTAGTGTGTGTGAGTGTTAGGTGTGTGTGAGTGTTAGGTGTGTGTGAGTGTTAGGTGTGTGTGAGTGTTAGGTGTGTGTTAGGTGTGTGTGAGTGTTAGGTGTGTGTGTTAGGGTGTATGAGTGTTAGGTGTGTGTGTGAGTGTTAGGTGTGTGTGTGTGTGTTAGGTGTGTGTGTTAGGTGTGTGTGTGAGTGTTAGGGTGTGTGAGTGTTAGTGTGTGTGTGAGTGTTAGGGTGTGAGTGTTAGGTGTGTGTGAGTGTTAGGTGTGTGTGTGTGTGTGTTAGGTGTGTGTGTGTGAGTGTTAGGTGTGTGAGTGTTAGGTGTGAGTGAGTGTTAGGTGTGTGTGAGTGTTAGGTGTGTGTGTGTGTTAGGTGTGTGTGTTAGGTGTGTGTGAGTGTTAGGTGTGTGAGTGTTAGGTGTGTGAGTGTTAGGTGTGTGAGTGTTAGGTGTGTGTTAGTGTGTGTGAGTGTTAGGTGTGTGAGTGTTAGGGGTGTATGAGTGTTAGGTGTGTGTGAGTGTTAGGTGTGTGTGAGTGTGTGTGTTAGGTGTGTGTGTTAGGTGTGTGTGTGAGTGTTAGGTGTGTGTGAGTGTTAGGTGTGTGTGTGAGTGTTAGGTGTGTGAGTGTTAGGTGTGTGTGAGTGTTAGGTGTGTGTGTGTGTGTGTGTTAGTGTGTGTGTGGTGAGTGTTAGGTGTGTGAGTGTTAGGTGTGAGTGAGTGTTAGTGTGTGAGTGTTAGGTGTGTGTGTGTGTTAGGTGTTGTGAGTGTTAGGTGTGTGTGAGTGTTAGGTGTGTGTGAGTGTTAGGTTGTGTGTGTAGGTGTGTGTGTGAGTGTTAGGTGTGTGTGAGTGTTAGGTGTGTGTGAGTGTTAGGTGTGTGTGTTAGGTGTGTGTGAGTGTTAGGTGTGTGTGAGTGTTAGGTGTGTGAGTGTTAGGTGTGTGTGAGTGTTAGGTGTGTGTGTGTGTTAGGTGTGTGTGAGTGTTAGGTGTGTGTGTGTGTTAGGTGGGTGTGAGTGTTAGGTGTGAGTGTTAGGTGTGTGTGTGTGTGTGAGTGTTAGGTGTGTGTGAGTGTTAGGTGTGTGAGTGTTAGGTGTGAGTGAGTGTTAGGTGTGTGTGGTGTTAGGTGTGTGTAGTGTTAGGTGTGTGTGAGTGTTAGGTGTGAGTGAGTGTTAGGTGTGAGTGTTAGGTGTGTGAGTGTTAGGTGTGTGAGTGTTAGGTGTGTGTGTTAGTGTGTGTGAGTGTTATGTGTGAGTGTTAGGTGTGTGTGAGTGTTAGGTGTGTGTGAGTGTTAGGTGTGTGTGTGTGTGAGTGTTAGGTGTGTGTGAGTGTTAGGTGTGTGTGAGTGTTAGGTGTGTGTGAGTGTGTAGGTGTGTGTGAGTGTTAGGTGTGTGTGAGTGTTAGGTGTGTGTGAGTGTTAGGTGTGTGTGTGTTAGGTGTGTAGGAGTCTGTGTGTGTGTGAGTGTTAGGTGTGTGTGAGTGTTAGGTGTGTGTAGGAGTCTGTGTGTGTGTGAGTCTTAGGTGTGTGTGTTAGGTGTGTGTAGGAGTCGTGTGTGAGTGTTAGGTGTGTGTGAGTGTTAGGTGTGTGTGAGTGTTAGGTGTGTGTGAGTGTTAGGTGTGCGTGAGTGTTAGGTGTGTGTGAGTGAGTGTTAGTGTGTAGGAGTCTGTGTGTGTGTGTTAGGTGTGTGTGTGTTAGGTGTGTGAGTGTTAGGTGTGTGTAGTGTTAGGTGTGTGTAGGTGTGTGAGTGTGTAGGTGTGTGTGTGTGTAGGTGTGTGTTTAGGTGTGTGTGAGTGTGAGTGTTAGGTACTTTGTTGTTTGCGATCCAGAACAGAACATCCCGTTGACACATATGGAGGCATCATTACCACACGGCGATTCGCTCAGCTACCCCCGACGCAAACATCTGCGCTCAATCCACCACAGCGTCAAAGTGATACTCGCCTGTGCTCCGTCATATCAACCCGTGTACGAAGGCAAATAAAATATTTCTATCGCGCCACGTTGGATTAAAAAACACACCGTCAAAAGATCGTGTTAACGGTTCAAAGAGAGTTTTTTTTATTGTCAAAACTTGTTTAAACAAATCAATACTGTAGCTATTCCAGGGAATTGCACATTCGAATTGAACGTTCTCATGCGCTGTATGCACCTGGTACCAGTTTACATGAAAGGCAGTGATTGCTACAAAATATAAAGCACATTGCAAAACGTACAGGTGGTTTTGGGCTCCGTATGCAACTCAAACATTGGATATATTTTTTCCGAGTGGTTTATCCAGAAAAACAATTCCTCAAATTGTACTTTAAAGGTTTTTGGCTTTAATCAAAGCTCAATAATATCAACAGCCCTTGTTCAATCCACTCCAAGATGCAGGCAGTGACCAGACGGGTACTTCACCAGTGGTCAGCGCCCAAACAATCAGCAGTTCGGATGTCACCCTCAAACTCGGGTTTCTGAATCCACAGCACAATCACGTTCCTTCACAGTGGCCAGCTAGGAACTTGGTTGGGCAGAAAGCTCGCGGTCACGTGACGCACTTCAACCAATCGGGAGCGTGCTACGCGGTGGGAGGGGCTATGCACGACAGACAAATAATCCCTGGTGGGCGGTGGGGACTGTTGTTCCTACCTGTAACAAAAAATTAACCCGTAAAAACAAGTTTTTCACTATAAATCCTTTATATGCGTGGCGGCTAGAGTCCTCTCGTCCTCTGGCTTGAGATGGCTGCCACCTATGGGTCAGATGATTGCCTGCCACCATTAAGCAATTGGTAATTAATATAAAATAAAAAATTCCCTAAACAGTGTAAATTTTGGAACAAAATGTTTTCACGAAAATAATTGTCACGCACAACGAGTCTGTGTGCAAAATGTCAGCTTGATTGGATGACGGGAAGTGGGTTAAAAACGACCGAAAGATTTGCACGGTCCTAAGCAAGCAAGCAAGGAAATAGTAATACTTTTTTTTATAAATTAATTCTCACGACGTTTCGGCCACAACGCAAGCAGCCGTCCTCAGGTGGAACAGGTCTGTCGACCGTGACTTTACTGAAAGAACCAAGAAGATGAATCCCTGCAGTCACGAAAGCTTTCAATCAAAGACACCAGCTTATTTACCCCAAGGGCTTTTCATACAAAGTGCATCCCACGGCCCACACAACCTCCCACCATCATCCATCTATCGCTACCCCCCTCCTCTCCTCACTCCAGCCCCTCTTCTTCTTCGATGTCAGAGCATGAAGAGAATTTGGCATCTTGCTCCTGGGCACCTCCAGGCTGCTACTGCCTCCCCAGCTGCCAGCACGAGGAAGGGCAACGGCTTGGCGAGCGTACGCTCGCAAATTGTATTTGGCAATGCTGCTTTTGCGATACCGATTGCCGACAGAGGACAGATTCCTGCCAGAGGGCCGCAGCGCTGGGAACACTTTGGCAAGGATGCCGTCCTTGGTGTCGATGCCGTCATCGTCGTCGTCCTCGGAGCTGAGGTGGACTGTCTCTTCACTGGACGAGCGCTGCAGTGTCGTCTCGCTGGAGATCGTGGTGGACACGCCATGCTCTTCGATTCCACTCAATAGCAGTCGCTTTTTGGCTTCTGGGACTCCCAGTTCATCCAAGTCCTAGAATCCAGCGAAACACAGAAAATATGCACACACACCAAATTTTGTTCAGCGATCCAACATTGATAATTGGTTTTTTACCCTTCTATCTGGCAACAAAACTGACACCTTTTTACAAGGAGTCATGTTTGTATAGACCACAATACCTTGCAGTCATAATACAATACAAACAAAAGACATAACTCTGATAATGTGCACTGTCCCTGAAGTTGATTGGTCCACACCCGAGACAAGTATTGTGGTCTATACAAACATGACTCCTTGTAAAAAGGTGTCAGTTTTGTTGCCAGATAGAAGGGTAAAAAAACAATTATGATATTTTTACTGGCAAATGAGGTTCCCATAGTGTACGATACAACATTCTTCAAATTTCTGACGACGTGTATTCCTCAGAGTAATTAATGTACAAAATCAGTCGGTATTACCGGTAGGAACCACCTGGTTCCACCAGCCCACAGGGGATTATTGTGTCTGTCCGTCGTGCATCCAAAAATGGGAGGGGTGGGACTGGGTGGGGAGGGGCTGGGTGGGGAGGGGCTGGGTGGGGGTGGGGTGGGGCTGGGTGGGGAGGGGCTGGTCACCCCGTGGTGCCCTTATAAAACTCAACGTTTCACCTACTCACGCCGGCTTGTGCCCGCCCTCACAGTTGGCCATTGACCGAGCAACCCAACGTTCCTACCCGCTCCCTCCGCAGGAGGAATGTGTTTGTTTTGTACCCACTACTGGATCAGGACTCCTCAGCCTCCTCACTCGAGCTATGTGACGATCCATCTATCAACGACACACGAACTAATCTTCTCACAACTCGAATCTCTGTGGTGGTCATCCTCTTGGTGATGTGTGCTCTACTTTGGATGCCACTCCAATGCAGTCCAGTGATGTGCCCTTGCCCAAGCCCATCTACTTTTTGCAGTTGTCAATGTTTCTTATTTGCATGTTTCGGTATCCACGTGTAATGGGTTCCGGAGACACTTGTAGAGGTAACTTCTTTATTACAATACAACACTCCAACACTCCTGATACTCTGTTACAGCGGGACGAGGGGGTACAGGGTCCTACGCTGGCTGGCTGGCGGGTCTTGACCTGCGACTGGCCCCGATCATCCAGGGAGCTGCCCTTTTGCCTCGTGCCCAACGAGGGGTGGTTGTGTGTGCCCCCAGGTATCCCACAGAGCACACACCCCCCCGTTGGTGGCGCCAAGGGGCTTAAGTGTCTGGGGCCTGGGATCCTAGCGCCTGGCGCCAAGGGGCTTAAGCGTCTGGGGTGCCTGGGATCCTAGCGCCTGGCGCCAAGGGGCTTAACTGTCTGGGGTGCCTGGGATCCTAGCGCCTGGCGCCAAGGGGCTTAAGCGTCTGGGGTGCCTGGGATCCTAGCGCCTGGCGCCAAGGGGCTTAAGTGTCTGGGGTGCCTGGGATCCTAGCGCCTGCCGCCAAGGGGCTTAAGTGTCTGGGGTGCCTGGGATCCTAGCGCCTGCCGCCAAGGGGCTTAAGTGTCTGGGGTGCCTGGGATCCGAGCGCCTGGCGCCAAGGGGCTTAAGTGTCTGGGGTGCCTGGGATCCTAGCGCCTGGCGCCAAGGGGCTTAACTGTCTGGGGTGCCTGGGATCCTAGCGCCTGGCGCCAAGGGGCTTAAGCGTCTGGGGTGCCTGGGATCCTAGCGCCTGGCGCCAAGGGGCTTAAGTGTCTGGGGTGCCTGGGATCCGAGCGCCTGCCGCCAAGGGGCTTAAGTGTCTGGGTGCCTGGGATCCTAGCGCCTGCCGCCAAGGGGCTTAAGTGTCTGGGGTGCCTGGGATCCGAGCGCCTGGCACCAAGGGCTTAAGTGTCTGGGGTGCCTGGGATCCTAGCGCCTGCCGCCGAGGGCTTCTCTGCCTAGGGTCCCAGAGCCCCCTCTTGAGGCACTACAAACGCATTAACTCTTTACAAGTTTAATTCCAACCTTCCATCTTCTCCATGCTTCTTTGTGCATTTTTTATGTTGCAGAAAAACTTAAAAATAAATCCCAATCCTGTATTCGTTAAAAACAACCGTAGTTTGCATGGAAGCGTCCGTAGGAACTTGCCTGCAGAGTGACGTCCATCAGCTGTTGGACACTCGACAATCCACGCGAAGTGAAATTCTCCAAAAACTCCAAGCAGTCTATTTGTTTCAGGAAGCTTGAGACACAAAAAAACACAACACACAAGGCTCCAAAATGTTAATACCAAATACAAGAAGCACGAAAAAGTACTTTTTGCTTCTTTTTATTTGAATTTTTGACTGCTTGTGTTGTGGTTATTGCAAACATGATGCCTTGTATAAAGGTGTCAGTTGTTGTACCAGTTGAAAGGGTAAAAACCTATCACTATATTTTGCCACTGGTAAAGGAAATGTCTCAAGGTGTATGATGCCTTGTATAAAGGTGTCAGTTTTGTACCAGTTTAAAAGGGTAAAAACCTACTACTATATTTTGCCACTGCTAAAAGAGATGTCTCAGAGTAGAAAAGGTTATTTCAGCAAAGAATCCCTTTCATTTATTTGTAATTTTTTTCAGAGCGTGAATGATGACGATCTTCTTGGTTCTTTCGGTAAAGTCACGTAGAAGGAAAGCAACATTATATTATTTTATTATTTTATTATGTTTTATTTTTATTATTTTATTATGTTTTATTTTTATTATTCTATTACTTCCCTTCTACGTGGTGACTTTACCGAAAGAACCAAGAAGATGAATCCCTGCAGTCACAAAAGCTTTAAATCGAAAAATGACGACGATGTTTAAAGGTGGCGACGATGATGCACCTAAAGGGCACTTACTTGTAAAGAGCGTTGCCAGGCTTGCCGCTGTCCGGCAGGGTTCCAAGCCGGGCCCGTGGGTTGTCTCCGTCCGGTGGCCGTGGGGGACCATTGGATCCATTTGCTTCACCCGTCACAACATTCTGTGCAACGCCTGCAACCAGTGGATGAGCATTCGCAATAAAACATTTACACCTCAACACATATACGAGTAATATTGAATTCATCCTCTTGGTTCTTTCGGTAAAGTCATCACGTAGAAGGGAAGTAATAAAATAATAAAACATCATAAAATAATTCTCACGACGTTTCGGCCACAACGCAAGCAGCCGTCCTCAGGTGGAGAACAGAGCTGTCGGGAAGACAGCGTCTGACAGACCTGTTCTTCACCTGAGGACGGCTGCTTGCGTTGTGGCCGAAACGTCGTGAGAATTGTATTTTATCGTGTTTTATTTTTATTCTTTTATTACTTCCCTTCTACGTGGCGACTTTACCGAAAGAACCAAGAAGACTGCGTATCACTTTGTGGCAAATTGTGTCACGTCTTTCAATTCTACCGCATGCCGCCACGTTCCGTGCAGAGAAATGTGCTGTGCCGAGCAGGGAGAGCTTGCGTCACCTGGTGAGGAACCTTCGCCGGCACTGGAGGGTCCCTGGCTGCCGGCCAAGACTTCCTGTGAACACTCGCTGCCGTGTCGGCTGAGGTTGAACGGCCTGCCACGCAATTCCGTCACGTATCTGGGAGGGAGAAAAAACCCAAAAATTAACCCTCTTGATGTGCAAATTATTTTGTCAAGGCGCCCTTTCCCCCCCTTCCAACCCAGCGTATATACATGCTCCAAGCACGTGTGCTGTTTCATTCAGACGCTGTCTTTCCGACAGACCTGGTTTTCACCTGAGGACGGCTGCTTGCGTTGTGGCCGAAACGTCGTGAGAATTATTTTATTATTTTTATCATTTTATTACTTCCCTTCTGTTGCTACCATTTAATTACAGCAGCAATCGGGAACTTCTCTCGCAAGAGCAACGATTGTCTATTTCGTGTTCACGTACTGTTGTTGCTGCAGGTTGCGCAACACATTGGCATCCGTGGGCAGCGTTCGGATCAGCTCCAGGTTTTCCTTGATTTTCTTTAATATTTCAAAATGTTCTCTCCCATGCACCTACATACATACAGACCGCAGAGCAAATTCTTTAAAACATCAAATGCTTATTGTGACATGTGATTGCGAGGAATTTAAACGAAAGCAGGTAACTTACCAGGAGGCGAAATATGTCTTCTTGGTCGGATGGCCAATTGCTGCCGCAGTTGCTTGAAGTCATCAGCATGTCGTGCACCACTTTCACGCAGCCTGAGGATTTGGTTAAGTGGCAAAAAGCGGACAGGTAAGGCGAGTACACGCAGGGACAATTTCTTTCAGAATAATACATTGAAATGACGTCATCATGGGACCTCCTTTGCCAGTAGCAAAATAGACTAATAGGGTTTTTCACCTTTTTTTTTTCTGGCAAAAAACTGACACCTTTTGCAAGGAATCATGCTTACATTAACCACAATACTTGGCGTCATCTGGTCGAACACCATATGAGACGAGGCTCTAAAGAAAGCTGTCTCTGGTGTGGACCAATCAGTTTCAAAGACAATGCATACATTATCAGAGTTGTGTTTTTTTTGTTGCATTTGACTGCAAGTATAGTGGTTAATGTAAGCATGATTCCTTGCAAAAGGTGTCAGTTTTGTTGCCACAAAAAAGGGGAAAACCCCTATTAGTGAAATTATATAATTTACAAAAACCTCAAATGTGTCTTAATAGCTAGACAGCAGCATGCGTGTGTGAACAAGGGGCAGTCAAAGTGATCACCTTGGGCTTGAATCAGAAGCCGCCTCTCCACTCGCTCGCTGACTGCTGCCAGAAGACACCTTAGGCACTTGTGGGGTGTGCTTAACTGGCTGAGCCTGTGGAGACTGACACGTCTGGGTTGCTGCCTCTGCCAAGGCAGGAGGATACTGCTGCACAGACTGAGCTGCATTCTGCGTGGTGCGTGAAGGAGCCTTCCGATTGTTTGGAGACTGCTGCTGCTGCTGTTGCAGCTCCTCATCGTCCTGATGCATGCACTGCTCGTCCATTTTGATATCTTCGAGATTTGAAGCTTTCGCGACTGCAAGGATTCATACTCGGTAAAGTCACGTAGGTAAAAATGAAATTAAAATAAAAGAATAAAAATCACAAATCCTGCATAATGCCCGGGCATAATTAGTATTAATCACATACCTGCATTTCCCACATGCCCTCCCTTTGATGCTGCTAATCCTGCATAATGCACGGGCATGAGTAGTACTAATCACATTCCTGCATTTCCCATAAATATGCTAAATTCCTCTTGATATGCAAATTCTTTTGTCGAAGCGCCCTTTCCCCCCCTTCCAACCCAGCTTATATATGCTCCAAGCTCGTGTGCTGTTTCATTCAGACGCTGTCTCCCCGACAGACCTGGTTTTCACCTGAGGACGGCTGCTTGCGTTGTGGCCGAAACGTCGTGAGAATTATTTTATTATGTTTTATTTTTATTATTTTATTACTTCCCTTCTACGTGACGACTTTACCGAAAGAACCAAGAAGAAGAGAAAAATCACAACGTTTCGGAAGCAACACAAGCTTCCGTCTTCAGGTGATACAGATATTTTTCTGTGACAGTTTCACCTGAAGACGGAAGCTTGTGTTGCTTCCGAAACGTCGTGATTTTTATTATTTTATTTAAATTAATTTTTATTTCATTCTTCACCTACATTTTTACATCTCTCCCCGGCGAAGCACACACTCGGGTCTCACAGCAGAATCGGCCCAGTACCTGGCCACTAAAACAAATGGCTCAGAAAACAAATGCATGAAAACAATTTTTTTTATGGGCAGCCATTGTAAGGCATGTCTTTACTTAACCAGCCAAAAGAATTTCAAGAAATTACAGGAAAAGATAAAATAGTTTAAAAACATTACAATGTCTCTTCAACCACGACTATAGAGACATGGTAATCGCAATCATTGTACACTTAGACATTTTCAATGTTCAGCCCTATAAAACTGGCAGCAGACATTGTATGTAGCTAGGGTTCTCAAGTTTCGTACATAACAGGATAAATTCCACACCCTCGAAATGGCATTGCTGTTGCATTAGCATCTGTGCCGCCCATTCACTAGAATGACCAGTTGCATTGTAGCTAGGCAAATACAACTCTCACAGCAACTGTCATCATCAGAGCCATTGGCGATCCGATTAAAATTCTCACGGCGTTTCGCCTGCAACACAAGCAATCATCATCAGGTGTGAAATCCACAGCAAGAAAATTTGAAAAAAATTAACCCGTAAAAACAAAGTTTTTCACTATAAATCCTTTATATGCGTGGCATCGGTTTTATTTTATTATTCATTTCTGTTTTTCTTGAGTAAGAGTTTCATTTTTTCACATTGGTATTTTAAATTAAATATGAAAAAAAAATTTCCTAAAAAGTGCAAAATTTTGGAAAAAAATTTTCACGAAAATTAATTGTCTCGCACAACGATTCTGTGTGCAAAATGTCAGCTCGATTGGATCACGGGAACTGGGTTAAAAAACGACCGAAGATTTGCACGGTCCTAAGCAAGCAAGCAAGTGAACTTAATATAAAGGATTTAAAAATACAACTCTCACAGCAAGTGTCATCATCAGAGCCATTAGCGATCCGATTACATTTTCCAAAACAAGTCGTTGATTACAAGGGTAGTTAATCGGGCGAAACAGCGATTTGGTAACCTGTACGATACTTTCGCAAAATATAAAGATTACAGAATAACGTTATTCTAAAACAATATTTATTTAAAAAAACTCCCTTGGGGGAAACTGTGCGAGACCCCAAGACTTTGCCCAACAGTTGGCCGACAGAGTTGTAAACGGATAAATAAACGAGCCCGTAAGAGAAACCAAATACTGTGATCACATTTAATGTTACATTTTTTCCCACGCAAATGAGTGCACAAGAACCTGAAACCTTCAGAGCAGGTTAAGGGCCGTTCGCACAGCCCAGCTGGAAAATTAGCTTTGGGATTAAATGGAAGTTCCAAAGTTAATTAGCTTCCGGTGTGGTGAGCCTAATTAACCTATCACAAACATACAATTAATTAATCGGCTATCCAGTGAATACTTGTCTTGTTAATTAATTTATAAAACCGCACGTGTATTTAGTTTTTAAATCCTTTATATTAAGTTCACTTGCTTGCTTGCTTACGACCGTGCAAATCTTTCGGTCGTTTTTCAACCCACTTCCCGTCATCCAATCGAGCTGACATTTTGCACACAGACTCGTTGTACGTGACAATTTATTTTCGTAAAAAATTTTTGCAAAATTTTACACTGTTTAGGGAAAAAATAATTTTCACTAACACAATCGTATATTTTTCCTAAACAGAAAATTATTCAAGAAAACAACAAAATGTACAATATAAACAATCATACAAAAACTGAAAACCTTTCCTTATATTTAATTTAAAATAGCAATGTGATAAAAATGAAACTCTTACTCAAGAAAAACAGAAATGAATAATAAAATAAAAGCGATGCCACGCATATAAAGGATTTATAGTGAAAAACTTTGTTTTTACGGGTTAATTTTTTGTATCTCCA